AAATACATAGTTTTAACAAAATGCAATCAAATCTCTCTAACATCCTTCTTGTATCCTCTATAAGACTATATGATAGGCTTGTACATATTTTTATGGAGTTTTAAATATTTAATTTTGCACCATAAACTATGTACAAGAATACATTATGAATTACCTATAAGTCTCCATATTCAAATTTAATATATAAAACTATAGTGAAAGATTGAAATTGTTCATTAAAAACCCAATAAATTTCTTCTCATAACACATAAAAAACCATGCAAGTATACATATGGTAGGTGTCAAAGAAAGTTATGAAGCCTACTAGAGGTATAATATAAACAACACATTCGAAATACATAGATGTTGGGGATAAATTATGAAATCAGAAATAATATGAGTTCAAAAGCAATGGAAAGAAACTAACAATGAAAAAAAATGTGTTTTTATAATCAAAATGAAGTCAATTTTGATTGTTCTATACCTAATATTACATACATGACAGCCACATATTCACTTCTCTCTCTGTGTGTGTGTGTGTGTATATATATATATATATATATATATATATATATATATATATATATATATATATATATTCTAATTAATAAATAATACCTTTCTCATTTATTAATATATTATTTATTTCATGTCTTTAATTACTTTTTAGATATGGCCTCGTAGGTTCATATATAATTAAAAGTACAATAAATTTTTGATTTCGCGAATAAGATCCAACATACAGATCAAAGTGACGATTACAAAATGAACTTTCGAAATGAACAAAACGCTGTCATTCATCCTCGTTGTTGAACATGCATTGTTTCCTAAACTTATCAATTGTCTTCTAATATGGTCGTGCTCCGCCTCCTAGAATAAACGGAATAAGATCCTACACATAAATTGTGTTTATACGGCCAACGGGTGTAGTTGCACCTTTCAAATCTGCCAAAACTTGACAAATTCTTGGTTATAACTCTTATTGTAGAAATGAAAGCCCATGATCCATTAATTTGTGACCTCTTGGATTGTTGATTAAATATACTACATCAACCAATTTGGTAATTCACAATTAATTTGAATAAAAGAAAATGATAGAATCAAATTGACTATCAATAATGTTTATTGATGTTAGTTGGTTTAAGTTTAAGCAAACTTACAAATAAAAAAATATTTTTGTTTTTGTTTGTTTAAAAATTACTTTGTTTGTTTTTGTTCATTAAGATGTTAAACAAACAAACATAAATAAACACACACAAACAAACATAAATAATCATAAACAAAAAAAACAAATAACCATACATGAATAAAATAGTTATACGAAAAATCCTAGAATATCTTCCATATTTGAAAGTTATTGAACTTCAACCTATACAAAATCATACACTATTTATTAACACCCACATCGTATTAAACAATTACTTACAAGTTATATCGATTAGCCCAATGGGTTTGACAATTAGCCCAATATGCACTAGATCATTTTAATCAAGAACATCATTGCAAAGTAGATAGAATAAAAAAAATGTCTACATCTTTGGCTTCAATCTAAGGTGTTACAAAAAGTTAAGCTTCAAAAATCTAAAATCTTGAAATTAATGCAACTTTTTGATTATAAGATGCCAAACAGAATAAACCAAAGTATCACGATTTAGCTTCAAAGGAAAAATACAATGAAAAAAATAGATGAAATCTCATCAGTTTAGTTTCTTCGCCAATCTTGAATTTCTCCTAGCAATGATTTCAGCAGCCCAACTCTTACCAATTTCAGTTTGAAACTTCCCTGCAGTACAACCATCAATGCATAACTTACAACCATAAAACATGCTTTTCTATTTCTTGTAATTTACCCTTAATTTGTGAAAAAGAATAAATATATTTACCAGCTGTCGAGAGGAAAAACTCATCTAAAACTCTATCGTGTTCTGCAATAAAATTGTCATACCACAATCTCAGAAATGAAATTAATATCTTTTCAGAAAAATACAATAAAGAATTTAATTAATATTTCTTTTTATTTTTTCGTAACAAACATACCTGTTTCATATTCCAGTGCTTGCAGAATCATTTCAACCTAAAAAGATTTATATAAAAAATATAAATGTTTTGAAAATAATTACAACAAAATGAAAATAAACATTACTTTGTCAAAATCTTTCACAAGATTTGCCTCGAGGGAAGCATTATCCTCATATTCTCTCCAGAGTTCTTGAATTTCTTCAGCTGTAATTTGTAAAAAAGATAAATGGTGGATGAAATTAAAATGAATATGAAATTAAGATAAGAGTTACCGAAAGTACCCCTCATTCCACCACCAAGAACATTGCACATTTCATTTAAAGCTGCTTGCTCAAGTCTACTCTTTTCCACCTTAGGTACACCATCAGAAGGTGTTATATCTCCCACAATCGCTATAAAATTCAGATTATGTTATTAAGTTTTAATAATCCACAAATACAAAAGATAAATCATGGAAGAAATGCGAATTAAGGTATTAATCGTGTACCTTCTGCAATGTCATGCACAATTGCAATCTTGATACACCTATTCAAGTTTATACAGAGAAGTTGTGTTTTGATCAATGATTAGTGGAAAGATTGAAATTAGAAGAAGCAAAATGTAACTAAATCGAACCTTTCCCTGTTGATACCAGGAAGATCGCCAGCAATTAAAGCCATTAATGCCATTCGATACATATGATCAGCAATGGATTCAGGACCCTTGATTCCATGATTGATCCATCCCTTCCTTTTTGTGGTCTATCAGAAAGGGAGAGATTATAGAACTTTTCATAGAAGTTACAGACATTTGAAGGTGCATGCACATATGAAAGGTTTCTTCAAACAGATTTAAGCAAACGGAATTTTCGAATATGTTATCGAGGGTTTCTACATACAAACGATATGATGAAATCTTCAACAGAACCATACATTATAACGATATCAGGTCGAAGTAGCACACAGACAGACTTTCCCTCGATCGTTTCACCCAAATTACAGTAAGAAATGGGGACGATTTGAAAGAAATTAATCAGCATGAAACCGATCCATGCACAGGATGATAAAAGTTAAATTAATATTAGGTAAAAGCTAAGATGAAATCAACTATTTCAGTGAAGCGGCGGATGTAAATGACTAAATGCAATTGTGCCGAACATGTACCTTAAGGCTATGGCACAAGGTGAGGAAATCGATGCTCGAAGAGGAAGAAGATGTGGCTTCGGTAACATCAGAATTCACCGCCGATCTTTTCGGTTCAAATTTGGGGATTTGACATCGAACAGATCGCAATTTACGATCATGGGACCCAAAGGGTTTGAACAAACATGGACGATGGAGGCGTTGAGGGTTACTGAGACAAGGGTGAAGTGGATGCGGAGAAGATGAGGATGAAGAAGAAGGATTAGCTGCTGCCATTGATGAATAATTTGGTAAAATCTTTATTGAAGTATATGGTATGGGTTTCTTGGAATATGATGAATATGCCTTTATTGTGGCAAAAGGCGCAGCGGAAATAACGGAAGGGGGAGACTGGAAAGAAATCGAAACTTTTTGGTGTAGGATCGAAGTTATTGTCTATAACGGCGAGAAACGGAGAAAATATAGGGGAACATAGGAGTCGATTTTCTTTTCTTTCTTTTTTGTGGGCCAAGATTAGGGCTCTTTTACATTCCATATAAATGGAGATCTAATCCACAAAATCATGGATCCCTAGATGCCTAGTCAGCAGACATGAAAAAATACTCTTTTATTAAATTTTAGTGTATTATTTTTAATAAATTTTAATGTATTATTTTGGTGTTAATTACACATTTCGAAAAATATCAAAATCGAACCAAAAAAGACGCACGCAAAGACCGCAACATTGGACCGAAAAAGACAAAGGCCGGTCTTAAAAATATCGAACTGAAAAAAATGATTTGAAAAAAGATCGGACCGGTTTGGAAACACTAATATACATCTCTAGTATGTATGGAAGTGGACTGAACCGAACGGAACATGTTAGGACTACACAACTAGTTTGTACAATGTTTGGCAATGCTAAAACATCTCACAACTTAATATTGAAATTGCTAAATTATCGCTTTTCGTAGTTCTCATATTTTTTTAGAATTCTTTTTTATGCTCTAACAGTAAAATAATTATATTACGAAATTTAACCATTCATTATATTGTCTTATCCATTGCATTACTCATTAGTCACTTTATTATATTTTTTGTTCATTCCATTAGTTGGTTTAGGAATAACAACATTCCTTGTAAAATTATAAATTTTTTGATCATTTTTGTAGAAATCCCAACTTATTTACTTATGATTTAAAGCATCATCAATGTTAAACTTAACTTGCAAGGATGTTTACTCATAAACAATACTAAGATATATGTTAGCGACAGTTCCAATAAAACTATTAACAATACTAAACAAATAACTTTAAATATTTTATTACACAAAACGTCACTTTATTACATCAAACACATCAAAATTATATATTAAGTCATCCATATCACTAGACTTATATTTTCTATATTATTATTATTATTATTATTATTATTATTATTATACCTTTAGTCTTTTATTTAATTAATTCATTTATAAACCTACAAAAATTAGTATTTAGTTATATAATTATTTGTTATTATTTATTGACCCTATTTCAAAATAATTAAACGGAAATGGGGCGTTACACATCCCTTCATTCTCCTTTTCTTTTACGTCTGTGTGTAGTCTGATAACGGGGAGGAATTTGTGGCTTTCCCTCCCTAAAAATCTTGATCATAGGGTCCTATTCACCCTTATTATTCTTTTTCTTTTCTTGGCAGATTTGGTGATTGTTGGTGGCTTGGTTGTGGTTAACGGAGGTATAAGGATGTGTTGTTTGTGATAAGTGTAGTTGCATGAATAGGGGAGAAATATGGTGGTTTCGGGTTGCCTTTGATGTTTCTTAGCTGTTGTTAGAGAGTGTGAATGGTGACGATGGTGGTGGTTAGGTTGTGAAGAGGTGATAAGGGTGATGAATTCGTGTGGTTAAAGGTGGAGGTTGGAATGGAGGTTATGAGTGGTACACGATGGTGTTTTTGGGTGGTGACCGGTCATGAAGGGAAGGTTGTAATGATGGGATAAGGGTGGAGAAGATGGTGGGTGCTGGTGTTGGATGGAGAAGGGTTCTGCTCCAGGTTGTAGGGTGGTAAAGGCTACGGGTTCGAATCCTCTTTTATTTCCAGGATGTTCAAAGAGTGAAAGTCAAGAAGTGGCTTTTACCTTTTTAAAATCCATGTAACATCTCTATAGAAATTGTCATTCTCTTCTTTTAATTTGTGTAATACATAGATTTTGACTGCTTTTTGACTTCTTGAACATTGAATGTTTTGTCTCTTCGTTTTGTTCCATTTGTATGTCCATTTGTATATGTTTAGAATGAAGATAAAAGAGCAAGTTACAAGGACTTGAAATTGTTGGCAAATGGACTAAAACCTGGCTAATTGTTTGGCTTAGAAAACTTGCAATTTAAGCCTCAGTTTAAAATAAACATCGATTGAATTTTGTTGAAATTGTTGAAAAATGATTTTAACTCTTGAATGTGTCTTCAACCAAACTTGTACATTTCCAACATGAAAAACACCAATGATAAAACTTAGGCATGTGAACTATATCCGTCAATTCCTTGTTAAAACATATTTGAACTTCATAAATATAAAACCAACTCCCACCAAAACTCGTAGAATAGGCGGTGAGGAAACCACTAAAGCAAGTCACACTTGCTTTAACAGGTGAAATAAAATCCGTCAATCCATTATAAAAGTAATTCAGACTTCATGAAAAGAAGACCAACTCCTACCAAAACATATGGAATATGCGGTGGGGAACCCGTGGGGCACAGGTTGCATTTGTGATGAGAAGTGGTAATGAAAGTTGTCAGTTCATAACAATAAGCTTGTAAAAAGCTATAATTGGATTTCGTCAGATGAAAACTAACTCCCACCAATACCCATCGAATATGTGGTGGGGACTAAAGAAACTTAGGCAAACTTGTAAAAAAAAGTTAATGAGTCGCCAATCCCTTAAGAACTTTGGACGTCATAAAAGAAAGACCAACTCTCATCAACCTATCAAATATACGATGAGGAACCCACCAAAGTAGGTAAATCTCAACTGAATGGGAACAAGAAACATCAACCAACATATTTGAAATCCATCACAAAATCTAACGTAAATTCGCCTTTTTAAGCAAAAAATCCTATAAAAAGTTTTAAAATTGGAGGTAAAAACAAGTTTTTCAATTCATTTCGTGATCGTAAAATGAGCACTAAACAGGTAATTAGTAAGTGATTAGTAATAACTACTTCATTAGTGTTGATCTCTGTGTGATAACTAAATATCCAAACATCACTAGAAGTGAAGTATCATATCATATCATATCATACTATATTATAAAGGAAGCATTTTTCCTTTCACCATATTCATTTGAAACTCTCATGTATTTTTCCTTTCACCACATTCATTTGAAACTCTCATGACTTTTCAATTTCTTTCTAATAATAATTATAAATTAGTTAATAAGGTTAAATAAATATCAAACCTAAAGTGTAATCATACATAAACTAAATTTCAATATTAAAAGAATATATTTACTTCTACTTATAAAGTTATGTTTTTTAACTTTTAACATATTGTAATTAATGTATTAGTTTTAATATATTCTTGGATGTAAACCATTATCATTTTAAAGATACAATTTTGGAACAATTTGTATAAAATACTTAAATTATTAATTTGAATATAAAATTACAAGGTCAACTTAAATATAAATTTTAGTTTAACGTAAACAACTCAAATAATATTTTGTAAATAGTTAAAAGTGATTAACTGTAGTGTCTTTCTAATAATGATTATAAGTTAGTTAATAAGGTTAAATAAATATCAAACTTAAAGTGTAATCATAAATATACTAAATTTCAATTTTAAAATAATATCTTTACTTCTACTTATAAAGTTATGTCTTTAACTTTTAACGTATTAGATTTAATATGTTGTTGTATGTAAACCATTATTAGTTTAAAGCTACAACTTTTGTACAGTTTGGACAAAATACTTAAATTGTTAATTTAAATATAACATTACAATGTCAACTTAAATATAAATTTCAGTTCCATTTAAAAAACCAAAGAATATTTTGTAAATAGTTAAAAGTGATAAATTTTTAGTGATAAATGCAAAAACTAAATTGTAATCTCAATTTAACTAAAATATTTCCTAAAGATATTTTTATAATCTTTAAAAGTTCTCAAATAAGTAGCTTAAAATAATTTACAATAAAAATAGTTAAAAATAACTATATATAAATTATTATATTGTTACCTTTAAAATCTAAAAACAATGTTGGATGTTTTAAATAATTATAATGATAGAAATTAAAACATTAAGCAAATAAATTTTAAAAAATTAATTAACAAAAACAACAACTATAAATAACATTAAACCATATATTATATTTAATTTTATTGATGTGTAACTCGCGAGTAGAAGTCATTCAAACGATTGAAATTATGCAGTTATAATAGATGTATATATTATCATAGAATTCAAAATAATCAATATATTATATCAATTTAGTATATATAAATTATTATGTCAAATTTAACAACAGCGTTATTGCTATATTTTAAAAAAACATATATTTGTAAAGACTTCAACTATATAGGTGTTTATGTGCAACGCGCGGGCATTCGCCTAGTATTATCTATATTAATTGAGGTGATTTCATTACCTAATAACACATGTACCCTATTATATTTTTGTCATTTGAACTTTTTAAATTGGGAAAATTTCACATATGTCCTCGCAAACATTAAGAATTACGTCTATATCCTTTCAAAGTTCATAATTACGTATATAT